TTTTTTTTTTTTTTTTGCTTTCATTTAGTTCTACCTCGCATGAAACCTACGAAAAACATAATTACACAACTAGACTAATATAGGCTGTAATGAGCCTGTCTTATCCTGGTTTTTAGACAGTAAAAGACTGTTAAATTTAAGGATTCACCAATTTTCAGCAAAAAAAATGAGCAGCTAATTTGCAAGTATTTTAAGGCCTTGCCTGATGAACTGCCGTTTTCTCAAAACTCAGCAAGTCACGGTTTGCTGAACGCAACCGACGGCATTCCGAAATTAAGGTATTTTTTCTGAAGGCTTTTTAATTTTAATAACAAAAGACCGTTGTTGTAAAAATTCTTCACCTTTTTATTTTATCGTTACCGCCAAAGTGTTGTGCAGGAGCTGTGCAAAAAAACGCTTCTAAAAACCAAAAAAAAGTGTAAAAATTAGCGCAAGCTAAAAAATTTATTTACACAAACAAATTTTCTTGCAGATTTCGCCCTGCACATGTGCAGTACACCATTGAGCAAAACGTAAGCAGTCTTCTCAAGCAATTAATAAATCGTACAGATCGTCGCATACGACCGAATTATGGAGGTCTGTAGTTTTATCGGCAAGAGCAGTCGGAAAGTTTAGTAAACTATAAAGAAATTCCAAATTTTAAAATGCTGAGGAAATATTAATAACAATAAAAATAAAAAAGAGAACTTAAAGAAAAGTTTCCGTAATTCTCGTATAGCAGTAATTAATCTTCCGGTTTGGAATGTTATACCGGTGAACAGTCGATACTATAAGCAGCGCTGCTAACGTTTTAGTAATTTCTGATAATATTATGCAGGTCCACCAACTGAAGTTAACATCACTGTATTTGTGCAGACTATAAGTGCGATCTCCGAAGTAACTATGGTATGATGTTTATGTTTCAGCGGCAGAAAGGCTTACGCGATTTTTAAATATACTCTCTGTTACAGTAGTCTGAAAAAACAGCTAGTTCTTTCAACACGGTGTTTAGGACTATACAATAGACCTGTATCTTCGTCAGTTTTGGCACGATACACGTTTGGCGTTTGAGAGCGAAGATGAATCATCACTGACTATCGGAATTGATATGGTTAACTACATTTGGACGCCCGATACCTTCTTTCCAAACGGCAAAAAATCCTTCTTTCACGAAACCACCTCTCATAATTCATTTTTACGAATTGACAAAAAGGGCAATGTATTGCGTAGTATAAGGTGATTAGCAGCTCATTTAACTCCAGAAACTTTAACAAATGAGGTTTTTTAGTTTTCTAGAGAAGCAATAAGTAACAGAGTTTTATCAACTGAATTGAAATCGGTCTGTTGTCCTTAAGCGCATCGAAAGTAATACTTGCAGTTTTTAAAAATGATGTTTCAAAATGCTTGCTGTATTTATAACAAGAGCTAAAACTGAACAAATTGAATAAACTGCTTAAAAATCGATTTTTAGATTAACGGTAACAGCAAACTGCCCAATGAGACTTCACACGGTTAGTCATTCTTGCCTTCAAAAGCATAATTTTAATTTTTTGACATATTCGTATTTAAGAAAGCCACATAGCGCTTATATTTAAACCTGTCTGTTGTTATTACCAAATAATAAAATAATAAATATTTTTAGTTTCCACTGGATTTCCAAGTCTGCACTTTAGAGATAGAGGTCAGCTAATGAATTACTTTCAAGCGTCATTCCGTTTACTTCAGACATTTGTAGAGCAAATTCGTCGTAGCTTCAGCGTGTGATTGATCATTAATTGTTGAAGCTGAATCTTTTAGAGTTACGGATACAGTACAAAAGACATAATTTATCATTGGTCGGATCAACCTGGAGAGAATGCCGTCCAAATTGATAAAGATGTCGAACTAGCGCATTTTACCATTGGAAAGCATTGGCATATCGAACGAGAAATCCAACTAACCACAGGTGCAGTTTCTCACTAGAAGGTCTTACAACGAAAAAGTGCCTCGCCATGAATGCCAGTGAGATCTGTACCGTGACTGATTTGTAACAAATGATCAGCTGATAAACTTCAAATTTTTTTGAATTTCAGGGCCATATTCACGGCTGACTGCTTATTTTACTTTTAAAAGAAATATTGGTTTTTATCTAATACAAATATATTTCCCTGCGTCACTGATTGTCGTTATATCATGGGTTTCCTTTTGGCTCAACCGAGACGCAACTCAAGCTCGAGTGGCCATAGGTTTTTTTTGTCGCATATCTTTCAAATTTGATTGAGCTTTTTATACCATCGTTCACTGAAGTTTGGCACAAATATAATTCGCGCTCAAATTCATTTTAGTTCAAAACAGCAGTTTTTTAACGCATTGACAAAAATTATATAATGCTGTTGTATCTACCAACTGTATTGATCCACCGATGATAGAGTTAAGAATCTCATTTCTTTAAATGGTACTTCAAATGAACAGAAAAAAAGTGAAAGAAGAAACTGACGTTACACCTCTGCTTCATTCAAACAGTCTCAAAACTTAACAGCAAAAAAAATTAGCAAATTCAATAAATTCACTTCTTATGGACTTAAAAACGTGTTAAGACTAAACGCTGAAGTGACTTTTTTTTAGGAGTGACTACTGTATTGACTATGACGACGCTTATGACCTCAACCAATGCCTCTTTGCCAAAAGTCTCATACCTCACTTACTTTAATCATTTTTTATCTTTTACTCAGCAAAAGTTTTTAGGTTACAATAAATTTAAGGAAACCTCTATGAGGAAAATTTCAAACAACATTTACTACACTTTTACTGCCAATACCTCTTCTACCATGAAATCATATAAAACAGATGGTAAATTAAAATTGATCTTACAATATTGAAAAATTACAGGTGTCTTATGTCAAAAGTCTCGATATTTTTTTGGGATTGTGTTTCTTTATCGGTAAGCGACTGTCTTAAGACCTAGTATTTTTTATACATGACAAGTGTACCTAACTTGGTGATTTGATTTGTTGCTTTTGTTATTCAGACAGGTAGTCTAGTTGGAATAATTTTCTACAAATACTAAAATTAAGAATGCGGAACGTATAAGGGCATTCACTACAATTATACAATATAAATTTGCCACACTTGGTGCGTCAAATATTGTAGTAAAAAAATTTGACACTTGATCAGCAATAGCAACGGATTTATCAGAAAGTAAATATGATCAGGAAGAGTTTTAACAGAATAGAAGAGTTTTAAAATAGTAAAATAATTACTTCAGTAAAATTTGGCTTTTTTTGGAGATAAAATTTTATAATTTTAGTGTTTGCGTCACTATTAGAGTATGCAGCTATCGGTTATCTTATGAAACGGCGTCGCTCAAGGTTGAATAATTCAGCGATGAATATGCAAAATTTACGTTACGTAGAAGTAGGCGACTGTCCAAGAAAAGCAAGAAGTCGTTCAGAATTTTCCGTGAAATTATTAAGACGAAACACGGCAAAGGTAAAATAATGAAAAACTAAATTGATTACAACGGTGACTAAAATGCAAAATAATTGGCTGCTTATAACCTGGCTATAAAAACTGACTTAATGACTGAATGGAAGAAGTTAAACCAAATCTTTTCTACTGTACTCTTTATATTTCTAAATTCGCTATCATAACAGTCCTTCTTTGCCACTTCACAAATTAAAAGCAAATTACTGTCAGTAATCTGAATTTGAGAAAAGTGTAAAACAACTAAAAGAACTATATCTAATGCCTTTAGAAAAAGATTGTTACGTTGGATAAGTTTGTTTTTAGTCATTTGAGAACGTGGTAAAGAAAACTTGCTCAATTTCTACATAA